GACTTAAATTAAAAGCAATGATAAACTTATAGGATATTTCAACTATAAAAAATAGGTTGTAATCGAAGTCTTGAAAAGGTGATTGAATGTCATCAAGTAGGTAATGTTTGTTCTAATTGTACAGTTTTTTAATCACCACATTCTCAATAGTTGCCATTATCGGCCAATATAATTTTTAATTTGTAAAGACTTCATGCACCCTATCACTATATAGAGAATCATGAAAATGACGAACGGTGTATTTTTTGAACATGATGACTCTCTGCCACACCATCTAGCTCCTGTATGTGTCTTTTTGAATCAACGTCTTCCCGACCACTGTATTAGTAGAAGAGGTTCCATTGAATGACCTCCAAAGTCGCCAGATTTTACACCATTGGATGTCTTCTTATGGGGTCACTGAAAGAGTGTTATTTGCAAACCGGAATCTACGTCACAGAATTGTGACTGCACGCGATAAAATAACCCCTAAAATACTAGAAAATGTTTCACAGAATGTTGAACAAAGATTTTATTACTGTATGGAAGTGAATGACTTGCAATTTGAACATTTAACCAATTTAATCTTGTTTGGGAACTTTTTTTATTCACTTAATTCACCTAATACGTTTCCAACTGGGTTTTCACAATAATAAAATAGCACAGAAGAAAAATATGCTTATAAAGATAATTGAAATACCTTTAAAATAATGCGTCACTTAACTCCTCGTGTAATTGAAGATTCTTGAAGGGGTAACCACCCCCTTTAGAAGGATGACAAGGAGACAAAATCGAAAAATATGCAGTTAAAAATTTTGTAACGTTCTAAATGCGCAACATCCTCTATGTAAAAGATAACTAACTGACTGATACCAAAATACCACCCCTAAAGGTACGAAAATAATTAAATAATAAAAATTCCACGCGGACGAAGTTGCAGAAAACAATAAAAATAAATGACGATTGGTTAATTTATATACCAAAGAATGCAAATAATTACCACGAAGAGCTTTTGTTTCCAGAATATGAATTATGATTAATGAAAAATCATTAATTTGATAATTGCGCGAGTGTGTGGCTATAAATAGATTATAGATCAAAGGAAAAAATAATGAAATTGAAAAGGTTAAGGAGCGGGCTATCAAGGGAATTATTGTAAAATGAAAATGTTAATAGAGTTAACTAATACATTTAATTATATTATCAGATGATATCGTTAATTATTTATTTGTTGCTTTTACTACTGTTATCTGTAGTCTACTGCATTGCAATTTATTTCTTAAATTCTTATTAATAATTATATAATATTTAATAATTGACACTCAGAATCAAAATATTTAATTACTAAACTGTCAACATGGGTGTTTCAGTGACAACAATTATGTTATATAATTTGTTTTGAAATTATGTTAAGAATTTTGCAGTCACATTCGTAAAAAATTAAACGAATTTAATTGCTTTCACAAAACTAGTAAATAATTTGAAAATTAGAGGAGGATTTAGGGAACGATATAATACCTTTCGAAAGAGAATAAAATTCTGCAAATGGCTAAAAAAATACATACAGGGTTTTCAATTTGAATAAATGGACTTAAATTGTTTTGAAGTCTAACACCCTGTATGTAATTAACCAATTTTAAAAGTATGGATGGAAAGCTTGAGGGTATAGCAATCTTTCTTAAGCATACCAAATAACGCCATTGTACAAATTTTCTAATCTTAAATCAAAGTAATTTCGAAATATTCTAATGGGTGTTCACCGTGAGACACCCTGTATGTGTCAAAAGAAATATTTAGCAGGGGAGAAAAGGTCACTTATAATAAAGGCGTAAATGGTGGAAGAAAGTAATAACTAGGATATTGTCTACACAGTACATGGTGAATTTTTAGATTTAAAAGCTTTTATAGAAAATTTTCTTTAATTATATTCTTGTTTCTTCTCAAGGCAGTCTCAGTTTTAATGCTGTCGCTCTTTGAATATTAATAAGTATGAAACTCAGATTGAAATTATTTAGAGTTAATTAATTAATGGGATCTAGTTTTAGAAAGAATTAAATTGTTTCTCCGTCAAGTATTGCGTTGATTCTGTTTATTAGCCGATTTAGGGCTTTATTAAGTTCTTGCTTGCGTATTTATTTATAACACTGGGTATTCATTTTCTGAAGAAGAGAAAATTAATCAAATTATTACTAACAATTACTCTAACGTTTTTATGCCTAGGTAATACTCAAATATTAATTGAATCAATTTCTGTATAAATTTTTATTGTTTCTAATATACTTCGAAGTTTTCGGTCTAAGGCAGTGGTTTCCAACATTTTTGTACCTGCCCCCCCTTTAAAAAAAAAATTGTTGCGCCCCCTTAATTTTTCTAACAAACTAATTTCATAAATACTCCACTGATATTCCAGCAAGAATATGGATAGATATTTTAGCATTTGTACCCGAAATATGTTGCCCATAAGAGTTCATAAAACATTGAAACAAAATAAAAATTACATGCGAAACATTAAAAAATAGTTATGACAGTAGAATTAAACTATCGCGAAACTGATGGGTTACACAAGGGGTAGTTTCTTTAAATATTTAGGTATTACTTCATCATCATCATAGGGTCGTCAGCCTAAGACCATTTGGATATGCATCTCCACTCTTTCCTATCCTGAGCTAAAGTTCGCATTTTTCCAAAACTAGATCAACCCACATCCTTAACTATTTGCGAACACTAATCTAATTTACGTCTATATCTATTCCTCTTAACTTATTTCCGCCTCTAATTTGTCTCTATCCTACTAACCTATCTTGCCTATTTCATATTGACTTCCATAGAGTCCTCTGTCCTCTTATTCTTTCTAACACCTGTTTATTTCTAACCTTCTCTATCCACAGTAACCTCATCATTCGCTTATAACATCACACTTTGAACCTTTTCTTTTCCGCCGCGCCCACCGTCCACGTTTCGCACCCGTTCAGCGCCGTGCTCCAAACATACACCTATAACAATCTTTTTCGAATTTCTAAATTAATTCTAATTAAGGTATTACTTCAGTTCACATAAATGATTCATATAATTAGGATTCTGTAGCCTAACAGGAATTCTTTAAATTTCGGTTTATCTTTGTACCTATTTATTATTTCTGTTCGAATAGATTATTTCTGTAGCTGGCTGGAATGAGCCCCTAATTTTTATCTATCTACCCAGTTGCCCGTCTTTAGTTTCATGCATTTTATTTTTACTTTTTAATGGTTGGACTGTGGTTGAGAAGCTTTTGTTGTCTTTAAATTTTAAACCTAACATTTGACAAGTAAAAATAAAAAAAATAGCCATTACCCACAGTAGCCGATTCACATATTCATCGTAACATAACCAAATATATGGATTGATAACGTAAAAAGGGAAATGTTGGGGCTTTCGAGAAAAGTATTTTGTGCACCTCCTCCTATACAGCAAAATGCAATAGGTACTTATTCATATTTAAATAGTCACTGAAAAATTTTGAAATACATCGTTTTTAATGATCTGGATATTGATTTGGAGGTAGCTTCTTTTCAAACATATACACTGTGTTGAACATTTCTTCTTTTTTTTTTAATATAAAAAAACTTCAACTTAAACTTAGTTTCACAAACGACAATAAAATTGTTAAACACTATCATTTCATAATAAAATTTTCTTGGAATATACCAGGAACTTTCACCAATTCTTTTAGAAATATCTCGTATTTAATTTATTTATAGGTATTGTGTATAGGAAACTACAAATTATTTCATAATTAAATTTGCCTAGCTTTTGTCCATCTGTTTCAACTTTGTCACGAGAATATTCGCCAATTGTGAGCCGATTTTAATTATTCTTATTTTATTGGATAGAGTGGTCCCGTTTAAAACTGAAAAAAATATTTTAGCTCCAAGGGTGGAAAATTAGAGAACGATAAAGGAATAGTTGGAGAAATTAATGCAATCTCATTATTACGGTCAGATCTTTTTAACTTTTTAGATTAAGTTTGTGAATTTAGCCAAAGTATTAAAGTCGGTTTTTATACGTCAGTATATTTAAATCATATTAAAAGTTTTACGAACATCTAGGCGTTTTGCTTGATTAAAGCATTTAAAATTTACGCTTTCATAATACGATGATTTGAAGTTTTAAATAAGAAGAAGTATGCCAGTTAAGTTGAAGCAGAAATTACGTTTAATCTTCAAAACGAAATTGTTACTACAATAATTGTTTTGGAAAAGAGTGATGAAATAATAAACTTAAAACTAGTAACAAGATCAGTTATGTATACACTAAATTAAAGTAAATGTTTTCTATAAGGGAGTACTTATTAATTTTATTAAATGCTTAATAGAGGCAAGTCCAGACAGTTGCTTTAGAGGCAGAATTGAAGACCACAAAAGAGCTTTGAAAATAAAAAACGTTAACTCGAAACTATGCAAAAATTATTAAATAGAAAAATGCATACGTTGAAAGGTAACGTTAAAATTTGACACATCAAAAAACCAAAGTTAGAAACTCTAGAAATAAAAAAATTAGACTTAATTCTTAATTATCAAATATTTCTCGCCTCTCTGAAATATTTAACATCCCCTTTGAAAACGTTTACGTACAATGTAATTTTATTACATTTTACATATGATGAAGAAGCTACTACAGTAATAGGCGAAACAATTACTGTGACGATAAATTAATAAAATTGTCTTATGTTCGTTATTATTATTGTGGAGTTACACGATTTGGGGGCTTCTTTGATTCACTTTCAAAACATAATAAGTCTTGATCATAATACATAAGTTATATCTCTATTTCTTTCGAAGAAAACTGTTGGAAATCACGATCCCTTAATCGGGATGCATTTGTTTCAATAAGCGTCCTCGATATGAGCTAATGACTGGAATCTAGATAGCTATTCACGTTTCACGCTATACAGCCATCAAAGCAACCCTTGTTAATCGATAAGGATGTGTTGCGTCGTCGTCGCGGCGCAAGCGTCCAGACGGACGAACTCAATCAATAAACTTTTTCTGTATACATACGTATATACAATCGCACGTTTATATGTGTATGACGATTTTATCCCAAGTTAAGGTGTTTTTATTTAACTATATTTGTGGACAACTTTTGTTGCCAAAAATCAGGTATGTTAGTGTTACACTAGTATCGTAGTGGGCTGGGGGTGACCTAAATTAAAGTAAACGACAAGATCATCTCGAATCCCGTTAAATTATTTTTTAATCGAATGTTTCGCACTAGTTGAGCGATTAAAATTTTCTTTAATAGAATTTCTCAATAAGTGGTTAAATTATCTAACATGAGTTAATCAAGTATTAGTAGAGCAATTAATTCATTGAAACGCTTATTTCAGCGAAGTATTAAAAATAATTATACAGTGATTTATTTAAACTTATTTATCCGGGCTTTTAAGGAAGAAGCACGTTCACTAGTTTTAATCCGGCATTAGATTTTAATAAAATATTAAAGTAGATTATCTAATATTATATAGCAATTAATCAGTGTTAATTAATTAAACAACACAGAGACGAATTGTTTTACTGCAGGTGTTTTATTTTTAATTTCATTGAAATTAGGATATCTTTTATAGTTGGCCATGAGTTGTTTGGGGGAATGTTTAGACATCGGTCCACCACCTGACAGTATCATATTTATCCCGCCCCCACCTGTACCAGATTTTCTCCAGTCGCCTTTACAAGATGTTGTTTTAAATACAACCCCGTGTACTGTTATACCAATATGTGAAGCATGGGTGCAAGTTCAAGGAGGGGGCAAATTTTCAGAATTACCAAGGAAAGGTGAGGGAAATAACAGTGCCGGTATAATTTGTTATTTAATCAGAATGAAATTGTTGTTGACTGAATAGTTTCGACCTTTGCATAATGAAAATCTGCAAACACAGGTTCAAAAATAAAGTGTTACTTCTTATACACAGATATTAACATTAACATTTAAACAAGAATGTTTTAATTAAGTTAATATCTGTGTACAAGCAAAGTTATGTTCTTTGTCTATCAATTATATTTTACAAACAAATGTATAGTATCTAACCTCGTAGAACTATAAGTTAAAAAAAAAAACAAAATTTTTTTCAGTCTGAAGATGCTTGAATAAATCGAAACGTAAAGTTGATTAATTATTTGACCGCCACCCTGGAAAAAAGCAATATAATTCGAAAATAAAGAAATCAAACCAGACAAGTGCAGGGTCGAGTCGTTTTTAACAATAAAAATAATAAAGAATATTAAGTTTATGGTCATTACATCACAATCTACCGAAACGTGGGTCGTAATTTCGAACTTTTTAGTTATTATCAGCACGCCACAAGTGTGTTTAAGATGTTTGTTTGGAGTACAGCTTTATATAGGTGAACTGTGAATGAGGCAGAAAAGAAAAAAGTTGAAAGGGTTTGAAATGTGATCGTACAGGTGGCAAAGACGTATAAAAGGGAGAATAGGGGGGCTGAGAAAAATGTAATTAAATCTCAAGTCATTAATAGTCCGAATTTCCGTATGATGTGATTTGAAACACACACTTATATATGTGTGTATATGATAGAGCAAAATGTTTTTAAAAATATTAGTAATTATTTAACTATTTCTACATAATATTTTATGTACTTATTTGTAATTCTTCTCCTAATACCTACCAATGAACAGGACTATTCAAGCAACTTAAAGGGGATACAATTATTGACAAACAAAACACTTTTCACCCCTTTAAGTTGCTCGAATAGTCCTGTTCATGTAATATTTTATGGTTTGTTCGAGGATAGTATTACGTAAAAGAATTCACCAACTTTCTTTATTGTTATAAGTGTATATTCAGTTGTATTATAATACAAATTGAATTTTAAATGGAAAAGCAAAGAATATAAATTTATATCCCTAACTGCATTAAAAAAAATGTAATTTAAAAATAAAAATTCAACAATGTACAGCCGAAATTATATTTTGTTTTGAATTCTCCTGGCGCCTCCACCAAAATATTCAATACATTTTTACTAATGGCTGATAACATTTACGTATGTTTCTTTATTGACAGGTTATTTTCGACATTTAAACGATACTATGTAATAAAAATTAATTAAAAACTTGTAATTAATAAATAAAAAATTAAGGGCTAACTCATTCTCACCTTTTATTTTACTTTTTTAATTCGCCGACAGTAGTTTGAGAAAGGGACAAAAAACAGCTAAAAATACAAAATTATTATTTCATAAAAAAATTAACAACAAGTTATGCCAAAAACAATATCTATCAAGTTATGCACATTTAATAATTCAATATTATATACATGATGTGCAAGAGTCTTCAATCAAATTTTTCACAAGAAGCGTTTTTAAAAATATTACTAATCAGTTAATTATTTCTACATAATAAGAATATAAATAAGCATCTTCATGAAAAAAATATAATTTGAAGATTTGTCAAGAAACCTTAATTATAACTCAATTACAGCTTTCGTTTAAAATCCTGGCACCTTCACCAAAATTTTCAATAATAATTATGGAAAACGGTGTATTTTCATTTTACTTTAGACATGAACACACATTGCGTGATGATTCGTAAAATTTTTATCTCCTATATCACGTTCCAATTTATTTTGTTTTTTCGTCCCTTTCTAATATTGATTTGCTATAAATTCATCAATTTGAAATGTGCTTTTGGTAGGATAGACATGCCTCATGACCTTAGGGTACCTTACTGTTCTTTATCGCATCATATAGTTTTGCAGGTGGTTACTTTATACCTAACTGATTAATGTATAGATATATTTGGTGAAGCATTTATTATAAGTATACGTATATCAATAAAAAATATTTGAGAATACGTAATATTTGTTCATTAATATAAGAGATACTTGATTGAAGATATAATTTTGATAAGCAACAATACAATTAAGTTGTTGTTTTTTTACATTTTAGATGTAGAGACATGGGCGGCATCTACGATTGATGATACCTGGTTGCTAATTTTAGTCGCTTCGTCGGTGGTTGTTTTGTTACTAGGAGCCCTACTGGCGATGTTTTTGCTCAAATGTAGAGAGTAAGTATTTGCAAACAAAATTATTTTCTATCAACGCTTTGATTGTCCAATTTTCTAGAATAATAATTCTTGAGACTGTTTTTTCTTTTCGTAGTTTCTGAAAATATCTCCTGATACATATAACAAAATAATAAATACAGTAATCCAGATTTATCCCCAGATTGAGTTAGTTTAGAGGGGCTTACATACTCATTTAAAATATCTCTCCTTTAAATATAGCAGTACGTTATAGGCGTAAATCTGCCTCAGTTTTGCCTAAATTATTTAGCAAAGAGAATAAAGAGGAGGGGGGCGGATGACACCTTCTGTGGACTTTTATTAATTTAATTTTATTTGTTTATATTGATAGAAATACAATACCTAAAATTTTGATAAGTAGTTTTGAGTTTCTTGTTGCTAGATCTTTTAAACTGTAAACCCCATATAACATACGAAGGCTTCTTAGCATATCTTAGCATAAGTTCAAAAATACTCCTATAAATATTTTCCAATTGATAATCATTGAAAATTTGACGGTTAATACGTTTATTGCTATATCGCAATTTCCAATTTATACAGTTGATAGTTTCCTATAAAAACGGCAGTTAATAGATGAACGCGGGAGTGATTTTATAGGGGTTACGGTCTTCCATGAGAGGTAGGCACTCCCTCGTATTACGACATCTTAAGAAGTAGTGAACATGTAAAACCTTCTCTTGGGTACTAATAAAAATCTAAACTCCGAAAGGTAATATTGCACCCTGGGAGTAGGTATTCAAACATTAAACATTTTTTCCTTCTATTAAAAGCATTTTAATAATTGATTTTCAATTCGTTCAAAATGATTCATATGAATACTTCTTCTTACCACAATTGTCAGAAACGACGAGCAGTTATTTTAGACCCTTGATCTCCTAAAATATTTTTGGAACGGACTTCTTATCGCTGCAAGAAATTATCCGCAAAATTTGCGTTCCCAGATGAATTTCGTTTAATTCCTTAGTTTTTTTTACCGAAATTTCCTTATGTTTACTCGGAGATTCTTACAACGAAAAAAATTCATCTGACAAAAAAGAATGACTCTTTTTTCTTTAGTTATTTACAACTTCAACAATTTACACAAATATTATATTATAAATTAAATAAAAATCCCCTTTTCTCTGGGCTATCTCTTAATTCCCTAGGTGTAGGAAAATTTCCCTAGGTCTAGCAACGCTGACCAAAAATCGATTCTATTAGTAGACGGTATCTATTTTCTTTATCTGTCTTAAAATAATTAATCCTTTTGATATTTTCTGTTTCTCGAATTTTGCCGATGTCAACCCAGACTAACGAATTAAGTGGGTAGTTTGGCATCCGATAGCCAATTATTGCATTCATTCATAATCTACTTTCGCTTGGCACTGGTTTCTGAGACCTACTCACGCATTATACGTAGAGGTATTTTAAAATTTCGTGGGCCGCGAAATTGGCGATACGCGGTCATTACTGTATTTGTATTATACACTTTAAAAACATTTAATCGACTGTTAACAACGTAAACTGTGGTGGCTAGATTGTCAATGCTTTTAATGAGAAGTATAATTCAAAATGAACAGACGCTTTTTTCAGTGGGCAACCCAAGAGATTCTAAACTACCTCTACTTGAAAATGTTTTTCACAAACAGATAGAAGTGGGTCCTTTTTTTATAATAATCGCCAAGAGGTTGAATTACTGGCATTGGCAATTATTTTGTCTTTCTTGATCCTTATTATTCTGTTTTAGAATTTATTTCTCTTATACTTAATGCAAGTTGAAGTTAAGAGAAAACTACCCCATTTGCTACTTTTTTTAAGGAGTGATAAAATAAAGATAGCATTATTTTTTTTTTTTTTTTGGAAAGACCTTTTCTAGCAATTTATATTTTACTTAGTTGAAACGGGTGATTGTACTGTTAATTAATTAGTGCCCTTTGCCAAGTTAATTACATCCTTTAGTTCAGTTAATAGAAAGGAGGTTGGCAGAGTTAAGTAGTTAACTAATTCTCTTAATGAAAATCACGAGTTGAAGGTTGCAAGTAGAAGTGAATTATTGTTCGCAAAGGAAATTGTAATTTAATATCTCTATCATCATGTTAGTAGTAATACCATGTTACGTGATCTGCTAAACGGCTCTTAACAAGAATCTCATTCGAAAAAAAAAATAAGAATTTTTCGTGAAAAAGTTATAAAAATAAAACGTTGGGTTCTGCTTATTCAGACCATTCTTGTCTTTTTTTATGTCTATCACTTGTCATTAAATTAGTCGTCAAAGGAAGATGTACGTATGTTGTTATACTGTTTTATAACTTTTTCCAAGTTTATTACGCCTTTTTCTTAGGAATTGGAGAAGTTATTAGGTGTTTGGACCTGAGAGTAATATATTCCCAATATTCAATTTAAACTTACCGCTGATTCTGCTTCGTGAACACACTTCCATTGTTTAGAAAAAACGCGTTGCTTTTTCTAAAAATTGCTCTCCAAATAACTAATATTGACAGAATTGGTTAAAGTATTAAAAAGAAAAAATGGTTTGCATATTTATGTAAAAGTTATACTTTTATTTATATGTTTACTTAGGTATGTACAACACGTAAAATAATTTTCTGCGTAATGTAATGTTATCAGAACGATACATGGAAGAACAAATTTTGAGATGAAAATGAGTTGCAATCTTCTAACGTAAACTGTACTGAAGTGATGAAAGCATTGCATGTGTATATTGTTTGGTTAAAAAGAATTGCCGTTTATTAAAATAATAAAATACGTAGCATCTAATAATGTTGCCAAATTAAGAAAATTTTATGTAACAAAAATCTAAATATAAGTAATTGGTACAATCGATGAGATTTCTGGCATTGTGTTTGTTTTAATAATTTTCCCATGTTAGACGTTGGGCTACATGTTAATAGAAAGAATAAATCAAATATATGCTAACACTCATGTTCAGATGCGCGGTATTTACTTACAAAACTCTTCACAAACATGATGTATTGACCCAAAACTACTTTAACCAATTTAACGTAATAACTTCTGTGTGTTATTTTTAAATTACGTTATGCATAAATAGGAAAAAAAGGAAAAAATACCAAAAGATAATTGAAGCAAAAATTACTAGGGCGGTACTTTGCTAAAGAACCGAAAGATAACAAAAAACAATTTACCTCGGGATATTCAGTCAGGGGTTTTTGAACTTTCTTGATAAGAGAGAGTTCGAAGCTCTCTAACAATAATAGAATAAGCACTTAACAAGCACCACGTAAAATTTATTTCAGTAATTTAAATATTTTCGATGGTGCTTGCCGATAAAATATTTATGAAAACAATTTTTGATGTTACACTTCTTTCGACTCGTTGAGAGTAATATGAAATAGTGAAGAAAATGGTAAAGGGCCATATTGATCTATATAAGATGCACAATGTATTTAAAAGTAGTTAATTGGATAAGGATTAATGCTGTATTGCTTAAAATCGCTTCGTAAATAAGCCATTATTTCTCGTAAAAAGTAAAGGATAAAAAATGGTTATTGTGGCTTATTCCTATGAGATAGACATATACCATCCTAGACTTTTTTGTTTCTAAGGTGTACAATACTGTAGTATATTATTTTGAT